GATATCTACATAAAAATGGCTTCGTGGGGATTGCTGTTCCTCTGTTCAACCTCAGTACAAATTGTGTTTTTGGTATTAAGCATACATGTGAAACTGCAATTCTGTCAGTATGGTTAGATTGTGCACATGGTAGTGCACAGAAATGTGATAATCAAACTTTTGATTATTTGATCAAAGGTAGAATATTTAACTTACTTAAAGAAAGCACATCTTTACAATAGCGACACTGCAGATCCAAGAGTTGTAGTTACTTTTAAATCTAATGATGGGCTCAAATCTCATTGCCATCTATAGGATTATGACCACTGACCCCTCGGCTGATTTAAGGAGAGCCATGGGAACAGGAGGCAAATCCTTTCAAGGGGTCAAGTGGGAGAAATTCAAAATGATTGAAGGTCAGAAAAATCTATTATATGACGCTGATTGAAAACATTTCATTGAACCTCTTGGCAGGGGGCCGTATATCTGCTGTATGTGAAGGCATGGGGCAAAAAGGACTATAAAATGGTGGAAGCAGAAAACTCAAAGGGTCAAAGGAGTAAGCAGGTATGAAGCCCAGAAGATTTTTATTTAATCTACAGACCATGCTCCTGGTAAAGGCTGGACGACAGCATCACACAAAGGAAAATCTATCACTCGCTCTCAGGGATTTGATTCTCACAGTTATGGAGGTTCAAGAAGGTCCAACTGATGTCAGCTATCAGAGGTAAGACTCAACATTTATGCCTTTATATAGGATGTGAGGGGTTATTACACCACTCACATCCCAGTGTTGTGTTTTGTGCCCTGTAATGCTGCAGTACAGCTGGGTTATCCCAAGACTCAAGCTACTGATCATGTAATAATACGTGAGAAGAGAATCAATATGATGCATAATGATCTGAAATGCAAGTGGAAAGCTTTACTGCTTTAATGCACCTCTGATTTTTAATAACTGGTCATGAAATGGTAATTTCTTTCAAATGGGATACCAAGAACAGTCATTTGGAGAAACAGCTGCACATTTTATTATTCAATATCCCTGGGATACCAACTGTAATTACTGAATTCATTTAAGTGCACACTGAGCCATAAATGTGAAGTACTCTGTGATAAAGCTCGCTGCCTCAGGCACTCTGAATGAATGTTTTCCTGACTTTTTAAAGGCCATTCATAAATCATTATTTCTAATGTGGAATTTCAGCTCTATTCTCACTTTATCGCACACACCCCTGTGTGCGATAAAGTGCTGTGTACTGTGTACTGACACGTGTGTAGCTTCAAATGCTTAAATTAAACAGGATGGCTAAGCTGTGGATCTGAGGAAGAAAATATAGTCGATGGCCTGGTGTCATAACGTCCACTTTGGGAAGAGCACGTGCAGCCACACCATTAAAGGTCCACCCTATAATAGTCCTGATTTGTTAATGATCACACATATTTCATGCTTACTGTAATAAAGGAGGTCTGCTATCAGGTAAAGTTCTGCTTAGATTTAGCTGTATACATTGTTCTTGTAGCTTTAAGGATTACTCTCAGCACATGTAGATACACTATGGTTTTCACGTTTCAGCCACTTTCCCCCAACATTCCTTATCTCTCTTTATCGTTTGTGAACAAAGAGTCAAATGCCCAATTTGTCAGTTTGAGGCCATGCAAAACAAAACAAATCAATGTTTAATTTAACCAGCTGGTTTAAAAAAAAAAAAAGCATGTTTGCCTTCAGGTGATATTTGATTGACAATTTATGTGATCTGATGGCCACAGGAAATCCATCCCTCTTAAAAAGGTTTACATTTTGTCATATGTATACAAAGAAGAGACAAAAAAAAAAAGAAAAAGAAAAAATGAAAAAGATGGGCCGTCAAACGCTGCATACAGTGTAAATAAAAACAGAATGCAGTGATTGGCAAATCTCAGATGCTCATATTTTATTCACAATAGAACAAACATGTTGAAAATTGATCATTTTAAGAAACATTAACTCATTTTAAATTGGATGACAGGATTATGTCTCACAAAAGAAGGGAGATGACAACAAAATCCTGTAAAAGAACAAAGAAACCATTTTTACCTACTTGTTATATTGGCAACAGGTCAGTAACATGGTTTGGTATTAAAAACAATCTTAGAGAGGCAGAGTTTCTCCCAATTAAAAATGGGCAGAGATTCACCAGTCTGTAGAGACAGTGCCCAATATTATCATAAAATGAAAAGATTCAGTGGAATCGGGAGAAATCTGTGTGCAAGGGATAAAGATGAAGATTACATCTATGTAATTTTCAGGTCCTCGGACCGCACTGAATTAAAAACCGACATGATTCTGTCATGGAAATCACCTGATGGACACATGAACACGTTCAGAAATGACTGTCGATATGTAAACGTGATCCAGAAATGCTGCTGTCTTCTCTGAACCACAGCAGCAAAATATTTTGGGAAAACTTGAAAGCTTTAATACTAAACTGGCCAAACTTTTTGAGATGTGTTTTTGCCATTGATTTCAAAATAAATGAGCATTTTTCTTAAAATGATACATTTCCCCAGTGTAAACATTTGATATGAGTAAAATAAGGGTTTATGAGATCAGCCAATCATTGCAACCCCCCCCCCCCCCCAAAAGAAACCAAACACCCCCCCCCAAAAGAAACCCCCAAACAACCCCCCCCCCCAAAAAAAAAACAAAAACAAAAAAAACTGCTTCATTTATTAGCTGGTACCTAGTCTTATTACTCCAGCTTTAAACACCATTAAAATTTTATTGAACGGAAAGGTAGACATATACATGCGTGACTTTTAATCAATAACTAACACAATGAGAGACCCGCTAGTTAACCAGGGTGAATGCCAGTTTTTGCCCATTGAGCGCTAGGATAGGCTCCAGACACTCAGACGACCCTAAACTAGTTAAATTAACATAATGGATGGATAACTGTCGACTGGACTAGTGATGATGGTAGAATTTGTTAGTGATGTTTTGGGTAACAACACATAAAACTAATATCTTTAAAGAACAAGAAAACAACACCAGGTCAAAATTCAAATATTAGCCAACAAATCACAAACATGACGTCTGTTTCACATTGTAAAGTATGTCATGAAGCAGGTACTGCATATGAGTGGTGTGCTAACATATTACAGCACAGCTCTGCTTTGAGCTGAAAAGCAAAGTTAGCAGGCTAATAATGCTAACACGTTTAGCAAATTTCCATTTTTATGTTGATCATTTTGGGGTCTTTTTTTAATTTCCAGGAATGACTTTAGTTTTTGCGGATAAAAGATAAAAAAGAAAGTTTAAAAAAAAAATTTATGAGGGAGTAATCCAGCCGACAGCTGCTAAATAAAGATCAGGAAGCAATTTAACAAGTACATGCCCGTCGACAGCGTGTCAGCAGAGATATTTATCTATTTAAGGTACATACCATTTTGCCATATCTGCTATTAGCGAGTCTGTGGTGACATGGAGGGGACGGTCAGAGAAGAAACAGACATGAAAATGTCATCCTTTTAATTTATTGTTTAACCCATTCATTTTCATAATGGCTTACAATGTAGGTTAGAGGCTGATCACTGACCTGATCAAACAACTAAACTGGATGTGCAAGTTAGTGTGCATTTGTTTTTCTGCAGGATTTTTATTTGCATATAGCAGAGAGTAAATTATATGCAAAAGCCCTCAAAGAAAACAACATTCACTCTAAACATTCACTCACCTTTTAGATCTGGCTTACGTGTTATGTAATTCTAAAGATATGTCAAGTTCAAAACCGTACAAACTGTGCTCTGACTTGCTGTCAGAGGCATTGTTTTGTTGCTCCAGCTCTAGAAAACATGATATTGCAACTGAGAACAGCACCAGAGCAATTATTTTCCAGAAGACATTGAGACTTTGACTAAAGAGCCCCCCAGATTCTGTTCCCACATTACTCCCTCCTCAAGATCTTCATCTTTGGCAGAAAAGGCCTTGGGCACCATCTTCACTCTGCAGAGGCCTTGCATTGTAACACAAGAGTTTATTCAGTCTGTAACTAATCCTCAGTCTTTCTCTGTCATTCGGCCTCACCCTCTCATTGAGGACAGGGTTTGTTCAAGGTATAGCTACGAGCTAAGGCTGCTGTTGTTCCTGGTTCATTGGGAGGATAGGATAGGAATCTACCTGTATTGACATACCTTTACTCCCTCTCTCACATTCTTCGGTAAATATCTACCTCAGTTTCTTTTCAAGCTTAACAGCTGATTTTTAAACACTAGTTCCTAAAAATATCAGGGATCTTAAAATGTACGTGGGAGCTGCCTGGTGGTCCTAAGATCAGTTTGACTTCAGATTCTGCAGCCCGTAAGAAACAACTGGTGGATATGTCCACGAGGTATGACATTTACTGTTACTGGTTACATCAGAAACTAACATTTCCAGAATGACTGCTTCTGTTCACTAGCAACAGCAGCAGTGGCGCGTTTGTATTCTTGCAGGCTTCAAATGCACAAACGGTGTTGCCTGCATTCACCTGTGCACATGTTTGTTTGAACACTCAATAGTCAAATGAAAACAGATCATAGTGAAGGCAGCCTTTGCCATGGGCAAGCTCAGAAAGCAGGGCAAGATGCCCGTTCTGTGCTGTGAGCGGTGCTGTATTTTATGTCCCGTACAGACAGCCAAACATTCAGAGAAAAGACTGATGGAAGGAGGAAGAGAGGGCTGCCAGCTGCCAGTGACTGCACCAAGTAGATCTTTTGAAACCTGTTCCAGCAGGTTTTTCTTTCTTATTGCTGGGCTAGCTTGGACGAGTGCCACACACACACACACACACACACACACACACACACACACACACACACACACACACACACACACACACACGAGGATGATATTCCGAGCTGCCAAAATCTGAAACCAACCCATCAACCATTTCCATACACATTTAAACAGTCAATCTAATCGAAGTACCTCACTATCAGGTATAAGGAAGTGGGAGGTGCACAGGTCCACAGGAGAAATAGACTTAAGCTGTCAACAGAGGTTAGAGGGCTGAGTGAGAGAACCTAACTGGGACAAGAAAGAGCAGCCACTGAATCCAAAAACTAGGTGAGTTAAATTACTAGTTGTTGTATCATTGTAGGATCTTTACCTTACAATATAGGAGAGTGTTCTTGTGATTTGGCGCTATGTAAATAAAAGTGAAATGAATAGTTGTGGTAAATTTTTGTAAGCTTTCTTTGATATTTTCTGACATTGTTATTTTTATGCTTACCATGAGTGAGTTAGTTTATTATCCTTCTATTAATGGCAAAGTTGCAGCACTGCAGTATTGCTGCTGGCATGGGTGCAGGAGAGGAATCCTCATTAACCTCTGAACTTTGAGTGGCAACGTTCTCATGCCAACACAACTGTCATCGGTATCATCCAGGCCATTAACAGATCTGCCTGCTCTTTTCCCCCCCCCAATAACAACAGACTTCGAGGTGAATTACCCACCTTCACAATCGTGTGCGTAAGACTTAGCTTGTGGGGAGAAACAGTAATAATTTAGCTTTGCTTATTCTGACAGTTGACTGCTGACATATGCATCAAGCTTCCTCGTGTTTTGTAGAAAATGTTGGCGTAAGGAGGCATCTATTCCAAACAAATTGCATGATAGCAAGTAGTTAAAAAGAACCCCTATACATTATGTAATCCTCACAACATCACCCAGAGAGAATTTCAGCCTGCAGCAAGAAAAGCATTCATGAGAAAATGAACACATTTTACTTGATACCTTAGTGACAGCCACCAGATTTGTTTCCATTAAAACAACTGACATGTGATCTAATGAGGGATCATATGCCCTATCCTCAAATTAAGGGTTTAAAGTAGTTGACTAAAATGAAAACAGTAAATAGTCCAGCTAGATGTGGTTGTCTTGGAACATTACCTTAATTTGCACACCCCCATGAAATGCAAATACAAATGACACATTATGCAGCAGTCACATCCCACATGAATTCAGGCCAGATACTGATTCAATACAACAACCATAAATGTACCACCCACTTCCTGCTCACCAGACCACAAACTTTAAAATCATCCGGTCTGTGAAGACGTAACTGAAAAGCAACTCAGCTAGCCAGACAATTGGTATCTCGTCTTCAGCTTACCTGTCATTTAGCTGTTTGCGGTTACTGGCACTGCCTCAGATCATGAGATTTGCATATTAGGATTTCATAATGGGCTGAGAAATATGTGAAGAGTGGGATGGGGGTTCTTGAAACGCTGAATCACTGAGTTTAGAGGGAATAATTATTCAACTTGACACAAATGAAAATTTATCTGCCTTCTACTAACACAAAAATAAATACTACTGACCTACATACCAAATCTTCCACATTAATTTCTGGGCGTGTCTTGTATGATCCTGTGAAACTGGCAGCGGACCCTTTGGATCCTGTGGGTTGAGGGGTGGCACCTGCATGGCTAGTCCTTGTTGTCTACATCATTGGTTATGTGTCAAAGAAGCATCCATATGGATCCCAAAACCTAAGGTTTCCCATCATAGGGTTTTATTGTTAATACAACTGCCTATGTTTTAAATGTGATAGCTGGCCAGTGTAAGTGATTTAAAATAAGTCCATCATCTTCTGAAATTCTTGCCCATTCTTTGCAAAACAGCTCCAGCTCAGTCAGATTAGATGGACAGCGTTTGTGAACAGCAGTTTTCAGATCTTGCCACAGATTCTCGATTGGATTAAGATCTGGACTTTGACTGGGCCATTCTAACACATGGATATGGCTTTATGTTTAGGGTCGTTGTCCTGCTGGAAGGCAAACCTCCGCCCCAGTCTCAAGTCTTTTGCAGACTCCAAGAGGTTTTCTTCCAAGATTGCCCTGTATGTGGCTCCATCCATCTTCCCATCAACTCTGACCAGCTTCCCTGTCCCCGCTGAAGAGAAGCACCCCCAGAGCATGATGCTGCCACCACCATATTTGACAGTGGGGATGGTGTGTTCAGAGTGATGTGCAGTATTAGTTTTCAGCCACACATAGCGTTTTGCACTTTGGCCAAAAAGTTCCATTTTGGTCTCATCTGACCAGAGGACCTTCTTCCACATGTTTGCTGTGTCCCCTTCTAGTTTGTGGCAAACTGCAAACGGGACTTCTTATGGTTTTCTGTTAACAATGGCATTCTTCTTGCCACTCTTCCATAAAGGCCAACTTTGTGCAGTGCACGACTAATAGTTGTCCTATGGACAGATTCCCCCACCTGAGCTGTAGATCTCTGCAGCTCGTCCAGAGTCACCATGGGCCTCTTGGCTGCATTTCTCATCAGCGTTCTCCTTGTTCGGCCTGTGAGTTTAGGTGGACGGCTTCGTCTTGGTAGGTTTACAGTTGTGCCATACTCCTTCCATTTCTGAATGATCGCTTGAACAGTGCTCCGTGAGATGTTCAAGGCTTGGGAAATCTTTTTGTAGCCTAAGCCTGCTTTAAATTTCTCAATAACTTTATCCCTGACGTGTCTGGTGTGTTCTTTGGACTTCATGGTGTTGTTGCTCCCAATATTCTCTTAGACAACCTCTGAGGCCGTCACAGGGCAGCTGTATTTGTACTGACATTAGATTACACACAGGTGCACTCTATTTAGTCATTAGCACTCATCAGGCAATGTCTATGGGCAACTGACTGCACTCAGACCAAAGGGGGCTGAATAATTACGCACACCCCACTTTTCAGTTATTTATTTATAAAAAAAAAATGTTTGGAATCATGTCTGATTTTCGTTCCACTTCTCACGTGTACACCACTTTGTGTTGGTCTTTCACGTGAAATTCCAATAAAATTGATTCATGTTTGTGGCTTTAATGTGACAAAATGTGGGAAAGTACAAGTGGGCTGAATACTTTTGCAAGCCACTGTAGCTGGAAATGTGCCGCGGGCACATTCATACATTTGAATCAGCTACAGCGTCTTGTCCCCAGCTTGTCAGCTTTCACATGTGATTTATTTATTATTCATTCCACTGACAGCCATCGGTGTTGTTTCTGTGACACAATCATTAGAGAAGAATTTGCATATTATAAGCTCAATTTGTCACCATAGGGCAGGGCAGAATCTGACATGTTACTGTTGAAGGTTCTTTAAGTCAAAATGTTTTCATTAGCATTGCATAAAGGTAAGGGTAAAGTTTATTTATTAAGCGCTTTTCATAGACAGGTAGTCACAAAGCGCTGCACACAGAGATTAAAATAAACAGTACAATAAATAGACAATAAATAGCAAAATGCACAATATACACAATATAGAGTTTAAATGTAAATTAAAAAATATAAAAATATGAAAAGCATTGGTCAACAGAAAGCTTGTTTAAACAGTAAAGTTTTTAACTGTTTTTTAAAGGATTCCACAGAGTCAACCAAACGTAGTTGTAGAGGCAGACTGTTCCACAGCCTTGGTGCCACAGACTGAAAGGCTCTGTCCCCTTTCGTCTTCAGACGTGTTCTGGGAGCAACCAACAAACTCTGAGTCTGTGAGTGGAGACGGCGAGCAGTAGTGTATTTTGTGAGAAGCTTGGATAAATAATCTGGGGCTTGGCCATTTAGTGCTCTGTACGTTAAAACGATAATTTTAAAACGAATTCTAAAATCTATTGGGAGCCAATGTAAAGAACATAAAATAGGAGTGATGTGAGCTCGCTTGTTAGAGCGAGTTAGTAGTCTGGCTGCTGCGTTTTGTATAGCATATATTACTGCAATTAAGTCATTGAGTGTGATTGGAGAAAAAGAAGTAAATGACCCGGGACAACAAGGGGCATCTTCATAGGGGGAGGCACTCGAGGAGATTTTGGATCTCAAGTCCATCACCTTATTTACAAAGTAATTGAGGAAAGTGCTACAATCTTCGTCAGAAAGTAACACAGCATGCTGAGTTGGAGGAGAAACAATACTGTTGATAGTATCAAATAGAATTAATAGAATAAAATGGTCACTTTCATTCTTATTGTTTCACAGTACATTAAAAATAATTGCAATTGCAAGACTCATATAATGATAAAGAATAGATGTTAAATGCTCATAAAATTTCATCATCTTTGTCCAGTTCCACTGAAGCACATACAAACCGAACCACCTGACTGAATTTATCAAATATAAATAAATAATAGCACAACAAAACCCATTTTAATATTCACATTAAAAAGTACACAAATTGAATTTTTTCATGCATAACATCCACCATCCTACATCTACTGCTGCTTGCAGAGGTCAAAAAGTATATTATACAATATTTTCTATATCATGATTAAAACTTATATGTAGATGCAACCACAGAAATTGTGACACTTTGTGGTAAAATCTACACCCATAAAAAAATAATTTCCAATAATTTAAAACAAGATTATTTAGCTTGAATAATTTACATAACAAATAACCCCGAACTGAAGATCAAAGGGTTGCAGCATTCACTCTTAGCACAAAACTCTGATCTTGTGTTTAATTTGGACTATTCTGCCTCTATGTATTAAACATAAGAAGCCAAGTGGTCATAATCTAACAATAAATGACATAAACTATCTCAGTAGTTAAAAGCCTGGTTTACAGTTAAATGCTAGTTAAAAGAGGCTAACTGTGTAAAATCCAGGAAAGTGTCAAAAATGGAAATGCATACATGCAATACATTATTTGTTCATGTAGAGTATTACAAGTATCACATGCTCTGTTAAGTTTAAAGAATTATTTTCTAAAATAAAATAGAAAACTCACTAGATTGCTGATTGTTAAAAGGGAATGTGAGTTGGAACATTTAGAAAGCCTAAGAAATAGAAAGGAATAGAATAAAATAGCAGACATGAGAGTCATGAAGCTCCTTGAAACTATTAGCGCACAATTTTATCCTGACTTGCTGATGAATCCTCACAGCTGACCTATTTACAGATTTAATACTTACACAAGATTAGTCACTTAAATTTCTGTCTCTTGTGCATTAATAGTCATCCAAAAGTACCATAAAAAGCATGGACAAAATAAAAAATCCTTTTCATATATGAGAAAGATTTTTAAGACTGAACAGGTATGCGTTTTTTCATTTTGGGTAAATTTCACATCAAAGTCTTGGTAGTGTCATGTCAAGTGTAGGAGCCTCTCAACCGCCCTAATACATGTATACTTTCATGTTTAAATAAAATGGAAATCATGAACACTGATCTTTGTAACATTACAAAACTTTTTTTGTTTTTTTGTGCAAAATGAGCAAAGAGATAGAGGAACAACCTCTCTTTTTAAGATAGATGCAGTTTTTAAAAACTACACAACTTTTAGGTATTGATTTATGGAAACACAGATAAGCACACATACACACACATTATGGCCACCGCTACAGCTCCTTCTTTTCTTACTAAAAGTGCATCCGTTCTGGCTGGTGACAGTGTCTGTCAAGCAGATGAGAGGATTTGTTGCCACAGTGATGAAAACGTCAATCTCTCAGCTTTCACCTCGACACTTTAGCCTCCTTTGATGTGAACAGAAAGAGCTACGATTGCTACTTCTCTCTTTTCCACACACAAACTTTCTAAGAGAGGCACTTTGTCCGCCTCAGCATTACTTTACTTTACGTGACCCAGCGCCACGGTTTGTTGGCAGTTTTAATGAGCTTGGTTTATGTGGAGGCTGAGGTTACCTTTACTGGAACCAGGGCCACGTGTCTCACACCTCTGATGGGATCACATAACACTTTCAGATAACCCTCCTGACCCACATACGTCCACCAGCACTTTGGAGTTTTAATGCTCTGGTGGTGAAAATGAACTCAGCTGTTCCCACGCCTGCATTCGTGCTGTCAGATTTACAGTAGAGAAATGACTCACACGATATTATCACAAAGGATCAGTGAACAGAAGTGCTTTCCCCAAACATGTCAGAGTTGATTCCTCTCATGTGGCAACAGCAATATGAATCAGATTTCACCACCGTCCACTTGAATTTTCTTGTCATGTTTTACTCCAGAATGAAGGGAATTGTGTTGGTCTCTAGCAGAGAGTTGAGTGAGTGCAGTAAGCAGCCGCTTAGCTTAGCTTAGCTTAGCTTAGCTTAGCATGATACTGGACACAGGTAAAACACAAAACCCAATGTAAAACAACAACTTCAAATTACAGTGCTGTGCAAAAGACTTGAGCCACCCCCTCATTTCTTTAAGCCAGATTTTTTAGTAGTAGTTGAACAATTGGTTTTATCTTTGGACATTGGCTGCTTTTTCACTTAATTTAGCCCTGTCCTTGTACCCAGTCATTTTCAGAGGAATGTTTAGTTTGTTTGTTAAGCCATTTAACAATGTGAATCATTTGAGGTCAAAAGGGGCACCCACCCCAAGGAATAAACCAGTGTTGTGTCAAAACATAACAGACAACTTAGCAAAGAACTGATTTTAAATCGCATGTTTAGGCAATTTGTTACTTATAACCTGTTGTTCCAAGTAGTTGATTGTTGTTGTTTTCAATCTTTAGTTTTATCTATGAGAAATGCCAAAGATAATACAGTTTGACAGACATGAAATGTTATTTTAGCACCATCAAGGTGGATCCAAAAGAGTTATTACAGTAGCTGAGAACTTGGCATTTCTCAGTATAGTGTTCAGTGTGTCTTTAAAAGACTTAGGAAACCGGATCGGTAGGGGGGAAAAGGAGAATTCACAGGCCTAGAAAACTCTATAGCAGATGAACAGTATCAGTATCATGTCATTTAAATGTATGAAAATTTACCAACTACCTCAGACATGTAGTTGGCTCTTCAGTTCTGTTTACTCAAGTGTCATTGGAAATGTTCTCAGTGAAAGGATGGCTGTCGAGAAACAATTCTTAAAAGATGGGAAACAGGGAGAAGAATGGAAAAAGCTGGACAACTGGACTGAAAATCAGTGTCAACAGATATTATTAATTGATGTATACAAATCCATTATGAATGTCAAAAGAGAGGTACACGGTGAGTATCTGTAGAAGTCCAGTCCTTAAGAGCTACTGTCCTGCAGCGTTTAGATGCATCCTTGTTCCAACACATCGGAATCAAATTAATGGCTTGTTACCAATCCTTTGCCAAACTTGATGGCAAGTTGAAGAGGTAATTCAGCTATTTAATTCAGCTGTGTTGGAGTATAGATGGCTGTCTCGATGGAGTTTAATAAATTCAGCCACCTGCTCCTTGCTATGTAAAATATAACAGGACACTGGCGTAAATGCTTGATCATCTCACACTTCTGTTTAATCAGTTTTCTTTTTGACGTTTATTCAGCTGTGTGAAAACTATAACTTTAATCTCAGCCAAACCGATTTACTCACGAACTAATAAAACACTGAAAAAAGCCAAACAAAAACATCAAATGCATTTGGACAGCATTTGTCGCGTCGCTGTGACGTAATCGGCCTACAAACGTGGCATCAGGAGGGTGCAGCCTATGAATTTGGACACCCCCTGTATCTTGAGGACTGGAGTTGGAGACCCCTGGTCTACAGCCATCTTTAAAACACAGTGGAACACTATGAGCCTTGGATTGGCCTCCCCAAAGATCAACATTATCGACAGTGTGGACTAATCTTGACAGAGAACAGGACAAAATGCAGCCAAGATCCAAAGAAGAGCTTTAAATGTCTTAAAGACTAATTGAAGAAATTACAAGAAAGCTTGCCTAAGGCTGCATTAAAGATGCTTTTGCGTTGCACTGCATCAATTTCCTATTTTCCTAGCAAAATATAAACAAATGTGAGCTTTAACTGCACAGCTTTTGCCAATTTTGTCACATCCTAGCAAGCAGTGCAGTCTTTAAGCTGTGCACTGCTAGCTTAAACTAAGATAAGCTAAGCAGCTGCCAGATACAACATCATTATATTTAGCATACAAAAATGACACCAGAGTCAGTCTCGTTGTCTTATTTTGGTCCAGCAGCATTTAAGTTTTTACTAAATTACTTTCACAGCTTTTTTTAACGTTCAATTTGACTAAAGCCCCTGACAACAACCCAAACGTTTCTCATTTAGCTTGTTTTCACAAATGTCTTCACAGCAGCAGGTTTTGGTGCAGGATGTCACAGTCACTGACATTTTCCCCGAGCAGCAAATCTCATCATCAAACATCACCCCCTCAGGTGAGTCTACACACCTGTGAACCCTTTGGAGCCTCACATCAACAGATGGTAGAAACAGAGGCAGCCGCCTCTGGCATTGCTAATTTAACCCAAAATGACCTTCTTTTTTTTTTTTAATGTAACACTGCAAATAAACCAGTTCTGAATCTGCTTTTAGTCACATCTAGCTGCTATCTGCATTTCTGTGTAGTGTTTCTGAATTAAACTGAGTGAGTTTTTCAAAAATAACAAGAACAAAGTATATGAGGGCGGGGATTGTACAGCTACCCACTTGCAGACAGATACAACTTATGCCACTTTAATGCTTATTAAATAGAACTTAAACTACTGTCAGGATAAATAAACCCGTCTTAAATCCTTCAAAAAGACTTCTGACACATTTTATTTTGTGGCCACACTCTAAATAACAATAAAATAAATAAGAATAGTAATAAATAAAGATGGCACACTTCTCTGTTTACCTTAGGGGATTCCCTGGAAAAACTGTTATTGAATTCTTTGTTTAAAATTAAAGTGGAGAGATGGGTGCCACCTGTTTTGCAGCAGTTAGCATATTTGTATTTCCAAGTAAATCCAGCCTGTGTCAAATCACTGTGATGATGGTTTTCACACCACAGACCAAAGAAGGCAGCTGCTTCACCCAGGAAAAGAGCAACACCTTGAGTCTGAGAACTGCAGCAGTGAGCAGGAGGCACAGCGCTGATGGAATGATCAGTTCACGGTCAGGGCGAGGGGACCTGGACGCTGACCGTTTCCACCCGTATCAGCGACAGTTCAGTGACGGAGCAGTGACAGAGTGCCTACAACAGTGCTCTTCTTCCTTTAGCAGTCTGCATGAGGTGTGCAGTCCTGGCAGTCATTCGCACAGCAGCGATATGCCACCATCCTGGGACCAGTACAATGGCAGCATTCAGGTTTCTATCCTTATGATACTCTCATTTTATCCTTCCATATTAATAAAGTTTTGTACAGCCAAAAGCAGCCTGATTGATTTGACACAGGAAGATAGACAGGCCAAAAAAAAAAAAGATCCACCACATCACAGCAAAAAACACTGTCTTGAAAGCTTCTCCAAACATTTTTCCTTCATTTACTTACATTTGCAGAACTCATATCCAGAGCTACCAGGCATACCTGTGGATCCTCCCTGTTTTCTATCTCAGAGCTATCCATCCTACAGCTCAGCAAGTCCTCAACAACAGGTGAGTGTCCTGCTTCAGGCACTCAGAAATGCTTTAGAGGACATGACGTTTAGGACACGAGTAATATCTAATATTTGCATTTATGATATGGTGTGCACATTGGACTATAACACAGTGGTCAGATCATGATTTCTTCTCTGTTCTCAAAAGGTCTCTTCTAGACTGTATCCTAACAAGGACCAGTCCAGCACCTCAAAATATAGTCTCTCCAGCCAGTCACACCAGGACGACACCACACAGTCCATCTTTCCTAAGCCCATTTACTCATACAGGTCTGAAGCTAAATCTTTTGTCTACCTTTTTTTACTTACTAATATTTAATACTGTCCGTGCTATCACAAGCAGGGTAGCTTTTTAAAATATATAATTATAAATAAAATTCTTTATTGTGGCAGCATTTTGATTTTCATGGCTCTGAAGAACAGCAAAACAGGAAGTCTCCCAGTCAGCGAGATCTACAGCTTCATGACTGAACACTTCCCATATTTCAAGGTACCACAACGTTATTATTAAATACTTTACTTAAGCATGTTGGCTCACTGAGACCAAGGTTTCTTTTCAAGAGACATTTGTGTGCTAAAGACATTTTTGTTTTAAGGGTAAACATACAGACACGTGATATAGAAACAAAGCATGTGACATAGTCACTATGACCCAGTGCTTTGAGTTTATTTTTGACTTTTGATTCTCTTTCTTGGATTTAAGTTTTAGCTTTGTATTAGTTAGTCCTGAGTTTTGTATTTTCTAGAGGTGTGGACTCGAGTCACATGACTTGGACTCGAGTCAGACTCGAGTCATTAATTTTATGACTTTAGACTTGACTTGAAAAAATGTTCTAAGACTTGTGACTTGACTTGGACTTTTACACCAATGACTTGGGACTTGAATTGGACTTGAACCGGTTTACTTGAAAAGACTTGATATTTTACCCAAAATATAAAATTTAACATGCATATTATATAGAGATTGAAAATGTGACGTCATTCACGGGTAGAACCGCAAAGGATTCTGGGAACTCGTGGCAAGCGGTAGTAGCGCACGCAGGCTTTCAATTGAAATCAGTCACACAGCGATAAAAAGAAACACAAAAATGTCAAGAAGCTGTTGTATTATTAACTGCAATAGCCGGTCGCATGACAGCCACGGGAAGCCGACGGGTAAAGAGATCGGTTGTTATCGGATTACGTCGTTGAAGAGAAATTGTTCGAGCCATGTTTCCGAAGTAACAAAGAGGCGACTGGATTGCAGCCATTCAAAGATCAAATATAACGTCCCAGAACACTCCAGCTCACAGGTTAGTCTGCTCCAAGCATTTACACGAAGGTCAGTATTTTTTAGTAGTTAATACGTCATTTTCATAACATAATTAGTGATATAGGTTACAAGCAAGTCTGGCGCTGAACAGAAATTGTCGCGCTATGCTCCTTTATTTATTGTGCATAAATAGTGAATTGTCCTGACACAATATTGTGTTTCGCTTCTGTTATTATGGTACATTGACAAAAACATATACTTTTATTCACAGGATAAAACAGGTTTTTTGTATCACTAATTGTCCAGTGCGATTACAGCATACAATATTGTTGTCACTGCTACATTTCTGTAATGCTACCAGAAATTATTTCCACTACTAATTAATTACCGTTGAGCTCAAAGGTCCTATTAATAAACGGTTAACGAATGTGTATTTATGACGACGATTTGTGAGACTGGTAAACTTAACCTTTGTTCGTACGATGGTCTTTCGTTCTACACGGTGCATTTCAAGGTCCTGCACCCATCCGTCGGTAAACTGTACCTGGACTTGTTGCAGTGACCTGAAGTTACTAAACTTCACGAGTGTGTGCGCTCACTCCAAGAACCGTATAATTATAAATATGCATATAAATATGCTACAATGAGATAGCTGACTTCATCTAACTAGCAAATGTTGTCCAGGCTACGTTGGTGATACAGTTTTTTTTAATGTGTATGATATTTTTGTCATGCGATTTTAAAGCCGGTCCTACAACCGCATCCAAGAATAACATGCAGCTTATCTCAGAACTGTCGGTGAAAATTATTCTTGGAGCTAGGTTTAATTGAGCTGCATTTTAAAGAAGTGCAATTTCACAATTTGTGTATATTTTCTAAGTTCACTATTTTGTCATGTGTTGAGAAAAACACAGATTTTAAAATTACATGGTCTAATATTTACATTTAGCATATAACTGCAACATTATTTTTTCGTTTTGTTTTTTTAAAGACTCGAAAGGACTTGAAATTCAAAGTTTCAGACTTGTGACTTGACTCGGACTTTTACACCAGTGACTTGAGACTCGACTCTGACTTGCCTGACATTACTTGAGACTTGACTTGAGACTTGAGGATAAAGACTTGAGACTTACTTGAGACTTGCAAAACAATGACTTGGTCCCACCTCTGGTATTTTCTAGTGCATCATAGTTTATTATTTCTAGTTCCTGATTCTTGTTTTGTTACATTAGCTCCCTTTCGTGACCAGTCTGTTTCTAATCTTGTCTCTGTGTCTTGTCATCAAGAGCTCCTGTTGTAGTCTGTCTAGTCTCTATGGTTTGTCTCTTCAGTCAGTCATATTTCCATGTTTGTTTATTTCCAGTCCCTGTGTCAAATTCATGTGTCTCAATTTTGGTCTCAGTGTTTGTTACTTCCTGTTTTATTTTGATAATCCCTTATTCCTATACGCATTGCATTCAGTTTTTCTTCCTCTGTGTCCTTACTAGAGATGGACCGATCCGATATTACGTATTGGTATCGGTCCGATACTGACCTAAATTACTGGATCGGATATTGGAGAAAAATAAAAAATGTAATCCGATCCATTAAATATCACGAAAGCACCTCACAAAACTTGCAACACCCCATAACTCACCTCAGAACGTTAGCACGTTGGAGCAGTATGCATCACGTGATAGAGCGGCTGTGGCATGCGGGACCTGTTGGTGGTCTGGATAGCATGTGGAGCTTCGCTAGCAACCCGGCATTTCATCTCCAACAAAGTTATCCCGAGAGAAGTAAAGCAAGTGTGTAAGTCCATCTCTGAATGTTTGTAAAGCATTCCTGCGTTAAGCTTAACAAGCGACTGCCTCTTCTTGCTGCTACTTCAATCATGAAACTGCTTAACAATCAGCTGATCGGCTTTTCTGTCGAGTCCGTGTCTCTTGTTTGTTTTTGGCCCACTTCGTGCCAGAAAGAGGAAACCAGGGGCTGAACAACAGCAGCACGTTTAAGCTTGATCAGCTGTTGTTAGAATGTATTTAATATTACTTTCTACTTGAGGATCTTTTTCTACGTAGCTGACGGCTGGTAACTGTGCAGGGGCGGATCTAGCAAAGTTTAGCCAGGGGGGCCGATAGGGCATTAACAGGGAAAAGGGGGCACAAAGACATACTTTTCTTTCTTATTCTCATTTAAAATGTCTAGCTTTTAATAAATAATTATCTGACACCCAAAGTTTTAATTTGATGTAAAAGGAATAGAAGTCAATTACTGTATATAGTAACTATTAAGTCTAATATATATACCCTAGTAAGCTATAGTACTTTTTCCTTTGGGACGGTACCATCTGTGCAGTCTGCAATTTTGTTGAAGAAAGATGTTGAATCTATTTAATATTTCTTGAAAAATAATTGATTTCTGTGCATTTTTTTCACACTGCATCAAATTAAGGTTGATTACGTCGATTAAGCATCATGAGGTGGAGCGTGAGGGGTGGTTCCCTATTTTTTATTTATTTATTTTTGTTGTTGCTGGGAGTTGGAACCCTATTAGTTAGGTTGCTTAATATTTATGCTAAGTACTCTTTAAAAAACCAGAATAGGGAGGATGGTGTAGGTTTAAGTTTATTAGATTGATCAGTATTGCTGAACTATGAAATATTTTTTTTTGCATACAGGTATAACAGAATAGCTTTAGTGTAGTTGTTGTTTTAAACTTGAGTATGAACTTATACAAAATGCAGCAAGATATTAAAAAAAAAACAGTTTTGTTGATTAAAAAACACTATATCGGATTCATATCGGTATCGGCAGATATCCAAATTTATGATATCGTATCGGACATAAAAAAGTGGTATCGTGCCATCTCTAGTCCTTACTCCAGATTAGTCGCTGCTGTGTTCACAGCTGTCTCAACTTCCTGTGTCTGTCCCAGTCTTCCCTTGCTCTTTGTTGTGTTCTTGAGTATACAAGTGTCTCTTGACACTGAACTGACATGTGGGACTTCATTGTAATGGGCTTCCTAAATGTTATTCTGTGTGTTTAATCGAAGTGGAACCATGAGTGTACACTCAAAAAAATCTTTATGCCCAAAATGCTGATTAACGAACTGATTTGGTTTTTCTTTTTGCGAATTTAAAGTGTAAAAGATTCAATATAATAAATTACCATTAAAACTTGATTGATATGTGTGCAGTTTATACCAAGCGTATTTTCCTTAGTGATTAATTAATTAATAGTAGTTTAAATAAACAAACCTTTCAGTACTTCAGAAACGTTTTTTAAGGGCAATTTTGTAACAGCTGTTCCAGGGTAAAGGACAGAAAAATACAATTGTTAACAAACGTAACAGAAAATAGTTGTAAGACAGTAGCTCATATATTTAAATGGAGCATTTTTCATTATTAAGCGATTTTAAGTGTTTTACTGATATTGCAGTTTTTTTCTGGGAACCATGGAAATCACTTCATGGGCTTGGGAACATTTCTGAAAACCCATGCCTCCTTTCCAAAGCTGTTCAGTGGGCTGAATTGGGGACTTTGCTGGCCCATTTCTTATGTTTAACACCCCTGCTATACATCATTTGCTCTCAGTTCTCACGCACGGTATTAATTTACAAATAAAACAGTGATGCACTTTTTTGTTGGAGGGAGGTATACATATCAATGCATTGCATCCTTTTTTTGGTGAGGAGTTCTAAGTAACAGATTAGATTAGATTAGTTACGCTCATAAAATACTCCACATCTAAAGGAGCCAGCTGAGGTGGTTCGGGCATCTGACAAGGATGCCTCCTAGGCGCCTCCTGGGTGAGGTGTTCCGGGCATGTCCCACCGGAAGGAGGCCCCGGGGCAGACCCAGGACACGCTGGAGAGATTATATCTCTCGGCTGGCCTGGGAACGCCTTGGTGTTCCCCCGGATAAGCTGGAGGAAGTGGCTGGGGAGAGGGAGGTCTGGGCTTCTCTGCTTAGGCTGCTGCCCCTGCGACCCGGCCCCGGATAAAGCGGAAGAAAATGGATGGATAAAATACCTTTATACTTTTTTAGTGGTTAAAGCCGCATTGTGTCAGAGCTGATGTAAAAACAGAGATATATAAATAATAAATTTTTGTATAGCAGTTGACAGATGTGATCATGTTAAAAATGAATGCCTTTATTCATTAATTTTGATAAATGAGGCAGCTGCAGGGTTGGACTTGAACCCTGCAAACGACAAATATTTTACATTTTCCAGCCATCTATGAATCAGTTCAATAGGTTCAGAGTAACTTCTGGAGGGAGCTGAAAGACTTGCTGCCATTCATATTAAAGATGGCTTATAGATGGCTGTTTTCCAAACAGCTGCCTAAAAAAAAAAAAGAATGAAAAAAAAAGTTAAACATATGCTGCACGGCTCGAATATACATGAGACAGATGAAATGATATTTGAAGAAAAGTTGGGTTCACTTTGTAAAAGCTGTTTCTAGATACGTCTAAATGCTTCAATCAACACATCGCTTATGTGCAGCTCAGTGGACACTTGTTATGGCATGCAGATACCATTTACTGGCAGAGCAGATGGTGGCAATATTAATATACTGTGTGTTGTAATATTCCCTGCAGGGTGGACTGAGTACCCTGATTTTATTAGATGGTTCACAATTAATTTATAGTTGCTCTCAAGATATTTTAACAAGAATGTAACACATGCAGCGGAAGACAATCAGGCAAGTGAGGTCGAGTTTCTTTCAAAGTCATACTCAAGATGTGGAAAAAAAAAACTGTGGAAACTATGGAAAAATGTTCTGTTTGGAATTCTGTATAGGGTGTTCCCCGAAACAATGAATCATAATAACATTCATGAGCCATCAGGAGAATTTGTCCAGTTTGTTTAAAGTAAAATGAGGTGTCCCGGCAGCCAAGTGGTTCACTTTTAACATAAATGTTCTTCATTTATCTTTTTCTTCCTGTGTTCAGACGGCTCCTGATGGATGGAAGAACTCTGTGCGGCACAATCTGTCCCTGAATAAGTGCTTTGAGAAGGTGGAGAACAAGAATGGCAGCACGTCTCGTAAAGGCTGCCTGTGGGCGCTCAATCCAGCCAAGGTGGAGAAAATGCAGGAGGAGCTGCACAAGTGGCGCCGGAAAGACCCCGTTACTATTCGCAGGAGCATGGCAAAGCCAGGTCAGTCCCGTAGGTATCCAACCTGAGAAATTGCAGAGTAGAAATTAAGGTATACAGAAGATTCTTTTCTACTACTTATTTTGCTTGTTTTACTTTTCCTGTAGAAGATCTTGATCGACTACTGGGAGAAAGACCGGAAAGACTCAGGTCTGTGCCACCGAACCCCAAATCAGGCACATTAACCAGAGCGACCCCCGTCTACAACCCCTCCGCTTTTACTTGTACTCCAGCTGAGCTTCGCCCAGCATGCCAGCCCATTTGCCAGTCACTTTATGCTCACCTTCAGCCTCAGCAGCCCTTCTACCTCCCCCCTGCTGTCACACACCCCAGCAACTCATTCGCCCTCTTCTCACCCTGTGGACAGCAGCCTGCAGCCGGTATCCCATCATCCACTGGAAGCCTCAACTCACCGGTAGCTGGGAAGATACCACCTGTTTATAACAATGCTCTCCAGTGTGATTACAGTGTTGAGCCCAGGACCACCATGCAGGAGTTTCTGCTGGAGGGAGACACCACTTATGACATTGACATGCTCAACCCCAGTCTGACTGACCTTCAGCTGCAAGGTATGAAAGACAGGGACAATACGGAGGGAAAATGAGTGCACCAAGATTTGCTTGTGCAAGCTTCAGCAGATATTTATTACTGATACTGACAAACTGGTTTAAAAGCTGATAGGAAAGAAAAGGGAATTTAGGAGCTGTGTCTTAGTTGCATAGTTTGCCCACCAGAGAGCACTGAAGAGTTGAGTTCCTTGCTTGGTAGACAAAGCCCATCATAATCTTTTACACAACTTTAGATCAGTCTGCATTTCTGCAGGCTGCTTTAACTGTAAAACTAACAAAATAGCAAACTGTTGTGTGAGTGTAGCATCCCTGCTAAATAATGATTGGTGTTGCTCTCTAAAATATGACCTGTGGTTCCTTTTTTGCAGGTAACCTGTGGGAGGAGCTGAGAGTCGACAGTCTGGTGGCAGAACCACAAGTTAGCACAAGCTCGTCCGCTACCTTTGTCCCTCAGAACCACCACATCCAGAGCAGCGGCCTGCATGTCGTGCCTCCCATCAGTCAGACATCAGCTGTGGTTGCCAGCGGTCGTTGTGAAGCGGAGTACGAGGACGGGGACGAAGGGCGAAATGTGGAGCAGCATGGCTGTTTTAACGGACTAAATCCCGTATTATATTCAGGAGTGGAAAGCTTGGCTGGGTATCTGACCTCCTGCACTGCATCCGTCTCTTTAATGTAAACCTTCGCTCTATGGATTTGATGTACCATGTGAGTCTGAACGAGGAATATAGTTTCAAGCAGTTTCACACTACAGTGTATGATTGGTGGTAATTTAAGCCCCGTGGCGTGTCCAGCGGGGTGGCCTTGGGGGGCCCCCCCAAACCAGACTGGCCACCCCGAAGCTAAAACAATAAAATTCAATGAAATATCAAATGTATGATTATGTTTCATAGTGAAGCTCAGATATCCGAGTGTAACTGAATGCAGCTTCTGCACTATGAGCATCATGTTAGCAAAGGTAGGAGAGCCAAGCACGAAAGACGGCACCACAGAAAACAATTTTTCAGCGAAAGATTAACAGGTTAACATAGCTGGACTGGCCATCAGGCATACCGGGCATTTGCCGGTGGGCTGATGACTTATTTATTTATTTATTTTTGTAATGGCATGAACAATGAGAGGTGGTGGATTGGCCAGATGCTGGCAGATCTGTAAAAATAACTCAGTTGTTTGGTGGTGGCTATGGCGGGGCTTCCACAGAGGCAACAGGTGGATGCAGGAGGAGGAGAGACCCGAGGCGGCCGCCAGTCCGAGTGTCAGGTGAACTGAACTTCAGATAAGAAGTTATGACCTGCAGTCTCTCTGGGTCATATATAAACCAAGTTTAGGTGGAGTTTATTTTCGTTGTGCTGACTTTTTACAGTCAGTTACAATAACTCGTACTGCGTGAGCTAGCATGACAGAGTTTCTATACAGCTGTGTGGGTGCTATGATGTTACTGATAGTGAACTTTATTGTATTCATAAGGTCAGTTAGTAGAGTTGCCAACGGCTCCTTAAAAATGGAATGGTCCCTCATTCAGAGAAAATATTATGCGTCTCGTATTGAGCTGAGAAGAGACGCAGTTTGTCCCGTACTTCAGCTAGAATGAAAAAAAGACACAAAGCTGGAGTTATTCTGTCGTTAGGCTGCACAGCTGCCTCTTCTCTCATTCTCTCCCCCTCCCTCTCCTGTTGCTACTTCAATCATGAAACTGATCAATGATCAGCTGATCGGCTTTTCTCTCTTGTTTGTTTATCGCCCACTTTGCGCCAGAAAGAGGAAACCAGCGGATGTCGCCCTAAACAACAGCAGCATGTTTAAGCTTGATCAGCTGTTGTTAGAATTTATTTAATATTAATTTCTAGTATCAGCTGATGTTTGCTGGAGCCACAGCTGTAAACCTGCTGGTCATGATATCAGTTTGTATATCTGGTGAGAGGGAAACATGAAGATGAAACCAGGAGATGTCCTTACTGAATCATCAGAGCTGAACAGGTGATGGAGAAACAGGTTTACCTTTTAGGTGACATGAATGAGTTGAAGTTATGAACTGTTTCTGAGAGACAAATAACACCAGGCTCCTTTTTTAAGCAGCTGACAGCTGGTAACTGCAGGGGCGGGTCTAGGAAAGTTTTGCCAGGGGGGCAGGTAGGGCATTAACAGGGAAAGGGGGGCACAAAGAAATATTTTTATTTCTTATTCTCATTTAAAATATCTAGCTTTTATTAAATAATTATCTGAATCTTGCGAACAAAGTTTTTATCTGACGTAAAATGTATAGAAATCATACATATACCAAAAAGACTGTACATCACTGTCACAACAGCGTTTGTTTTCATTCAAAGGCTTTATGGCTTTAATACCTGGTGGGCTGGTCTGTAGTCAAAATGCCCAATTTTTTGTCCCAGTCCAGCCCTGCAGGTTAATACTGGCAGTGTCACCATGCCAGCTGACTGTATTTCATCATCAGCCAGTGTTGTTCTTTATACATCAATATTACCAAAGTTTACCATAAGGCAGCATAGAAAGTATTTACTTGCTTTCAGGTTTTATTCAAATGTTAGTCTTTTCAGTTGTTTCCTCACTTTTTTCCTGTTTCAAAATCAAACACCAGTTTGTGAGAAGATTATCTTCTTTTTTTAATGGGCAGAAAAAGTTTTGCATTGGCTAATTTCCCAGTTGTATGTTAAAAATGTTCGTATTTTAATATTCAAAAATATTTTTGCCCAAAACATATGTGCACTATATGTCAGTAAAAATACTATGCAAATATTGCTGTCCTTGAATGCTGAATAAGCACTGACAAAGCACTGATTGTATCTCTTGTACTTTATCAACAGAGTATCTAAAAACTTTGCACCGTAGTGGTTAAAATCTCATTCTAATAAGAGTTAAAAGTGCATTTGGTTATTAGGTTTATAGGATTATTGAATTATGGTTAACGGTTGGTAGAATTTTTTTTAACATTATCTGCCAATTACATCTGCCACCCTTCTCCAAATCTGTGCCCCTACCTGGCCCCCCAACAAAAATTTTCTAGACACGCCACTGTTGAAGCCATCGCTGCAACAGACTCTGATGAAATTGGTTGTTGAGATTTTCACTGCATGCAGTCACAGTTCAGCTGATAGGACAGAAGAGCTCGTGTATAGTTATTGTCTGAAACATTTTTCCGCCTCCATTTCTTCTTATAGCTCCTGATGAATTAGACTATTCAGTATTAGAGGTTTACAAAGTGCATGGAGGATAAACTCAGATGGATCAAAACCCCAGTAACACCTTAATCAGGTCATCGCAAAGAAAGAGGTTAACAACCCCCCCATGAAAACCAGAAATGTATCAGTCAAGCGATATTGTTGTTGCTGGAGTTTTTTTGAATCGCTTCATAATTAGCCAAAAAAGTTTGATACACAGAGGATAAAAAGAGAAATGGCTGAATTAAAACTGTAATTAAAGTACTTAATAAGCATAAAGCTCTCTTGCAAAACTATATATATATATTTTTTTGAATGTATCTATTTATTTACACCTCCCAGAGTGTGTTGTCACATTGGTATTTTTGTGTATCCCAGTATTTTTAGGTAGTTTAAGGAATTATCAGTTTTTTTACTGTTTGTAAAAAAAATAAATAAATCCAGTACAAAAATAAATGTGAATAAATCAACTGCTCCTGTGTGAATCTGTGCACACTTATGAGCTCTTCTACGTGGTTAATAAAATGAATAAAACAAAATAGCTGTAAACGATCGTGTTAATAACATTTTCTATTATTAGAATTTTTCTCAACCAGCTATGATTGTGCAATAACAACTGTAACTAAAATTTGAAGAAAAGCAAAGCAGCTCCTCTCAGGTTTATAAAGCCTGTCTATAAAGAGAGTTTTGCTGAACTGTTAAAGATTTCCTGTTTTGGTTCATTGTTTCTTCCTGCGGCTCACTCCCTGATCAGCAACAAGCAGCAAACAAACACAACAAACCTTCTTCACAGCAGCTGTTTTTGACTTGAACTAGTCAGCAAGATAAGGCAGGTGTTACTAATCACGTTAATGAAGGCTTAGTTTCTAAGCAGAACAGCACCAAGCTTCATTAATGTGATTAGTTACACCTGCTTTTACCTGCTATTAGAAGAAAACAGTTGGAAACCGTTAGAATATTCTGTCGATGATAGATATTTGGATGAAACCAGGTGGTTGGAAATATGACCTTACATGGTTGCTAATTTTGCTCTGAAAGGTTTCCACTGCCTCTGGGTGTCCAAAAAACCCCTTGTTGTTTCATGTTTATACACCATTGACCAGAGTCTGTGTATCATGTACTCACTGGCTCAAACCATGCACAGTATGTGCTGAGAGGGAAAAAAAGAAAGAAAAGATGCTGATGATTGATGAGTGATACAGTGGGAGATGCAATAATAACGGTGCAGTAAGACTGTTGCTACAGAAGATGGCGACAAAAACACGTTTTGCTTGTTGCGTGTTAGGAATAATCTTTGGACATGCTTTACTTTCTGTGTGCATTTGACTGTTTTCTACATCAAATAAGTCAAAGGAAGAAGAATTCCAAGTAAAAGCACACAAACGACCTGCGGATCTTAAAGTGTAGAGGATGTTAAATGGAAAGTCTGCAGTCTAGGGAATTTATAAACCACTGCAGTCCATTTAAAGGTAATCAAGTTCAGTCAATAGTATCGTCTGTACCTCAACTTTAGGTCTTTTTTCTTTTTTAGTGGGTGTATTTGGAGTGAACCTCACTGTTAATGAAAAAAACCCAGCAAATATCAAGGTCCCACAAAAATCCCACATTTATTGCAGTTATGGAATTTTGGTTGTCAAAACTTTTTTACATACTTTTATTTATTTTTTTGCTTAAAACATTTATTGTAATTAAAGTATACACAGTGCTCAGTACTACAGAGATCGTACTGGATATCAAAATTGGTATCTGACTTTGGGCTAGTGTAACTCTCTGACACTTTTTCCAAAATGGCTATTTATTTAAAAAATACTCCTCACGCACTACAGTAGTAGTAGTACTACGGACATGAAAATATATGACAACAAGTGACACATTCACAAAGACAGAGTACACAGTGCCGTCATTCAACTGAACGATGGCAGATCACAGGAGGAGGACCGAATCATTCAGATGTGTGTGCCACTACAAAGACTTTGCTGAACCTCTGCAGTACAAATACAGTGAGACTCCTATACAAACTATATACTGTAAATATACATCTGATTTTTTTTATTCTTACTGCTTTTAGGGCAATTTCATTTCCTCCTTTGTCTCATTCTGTGTTTCCGCCTTGTCTGTTTGACTTCGGTTTCTCTTCCAAAACACACAAAATAAAATAAAAAAGTTTTCCTGATGAGAAACTGGAACCCACATATACAGACAGAAAGCAACACTATGTACAGACACCGCATGTGTTTGCTGCCCACACACTCACTCACGCACGCTGATGCAAACTGAGGATAAAACTTGCAGAATTCAGTGTTTCTGCAAAAAAAAAAAAAAAAAAAGAGGCAAAGGGAGAAATCTGATTGGCCGGGCAGCTCAGTACCTGAATGGAAATGCATGGAGCTTAACAGGGAAGGAGACATGAGTATTTAATGCCAGTGATTTGTCCATCAGTTCATCTGTTTCTGGTCCTGAAGTGATAGCTGGATTATCGAAAATGTCTAAAACAGGGAAGGAGAAAGAGAGAAATGGTGGAGGGTTGCAGGATGGAGGCTTTCCTACGGCCCTCCGCTGTAGGAATAATCTGCCTTGTTGTGCATCACCAGCTTGTTGTCCACAAAGTAGAAGCTGTCAGACTGTGTCTCGTAAGGGTGCAGGATCATCTCACGCACTGAGAGAGGGAGAGAGA